TAGAAAAGAGGAGTGCAAATAAACTGAGTCTCTAATGGTATTTCTTTTGAATAAGTTTGTATGTTTTCAGCTCACCAGTGCGTTTGTTGATAGGCCTCTGCGTCGAGGTAGAGTAAAAATCACCATGGTCACTGTATGAAAAAGTCCTTAAAATTGGAACCTCCGAGTCATTTAGTTCTACCGATATAACATCACAATATTAATTTATCGTTTGACGTCGGCCAACGGATGAAAATACATACCCGAATAATTACCCAGTTGATTAGTCAGAATCATCGTTGAGCAGTCTTGAAACGGAATCGTCTTTAGAGTATAAAATGTTCACTAGAGCGCATACGATAATACTGGTATTCACTTAACATTATTGTTCGATTCTCATCGAAACGAAGTGTATCACGGTTTCAGGTGTACAGGCATAATTATTTCACACGAAGATTTAGTTGAATCATAATAGGCGCAACTCTCGCAAATCATTCACCGGATTCGAAGTACTGAGAACATTGTTCGTAATCGGTAGTATATGTCGCTTGACACTAAAAAATATTCCATATTTCTGGATCGTATAAAGGTTACAATCTTATCAAGAGGAAACTCCCTGATAACGCAAGTAATCAGTACCTCAATTATTTTTTCATTACATATGAAATATCCTTTGACACATTCCCCGGCGCCGCGTCATCGTTCCGATCGGCTCGATCTTAGACGGGGAAAGAAATGAAGCGTGAAGTGTACAGAATCACTTAGAATATATTTTGTAATATGTACGAATAAATATTAATAACTCAAAGTCATAACAATTCCTAACACTGTATAATTTACAATGGAATTGAGATTTCTGTGAACTGTTTGCTCCAACTGTAGCTGCCACTGTACAATCAATTCGTCAATGTGATCAATGCTTCCACAACATTCCCTCTATGTTCCCTGAGCGTCTGTTCTGCAACGCTCCGACTGATTTCCATCTCTTTTATCTGAAACGGACGCATACGCGATACTTTTGTGAAACTATGCATAAACAGTCGAGGCAAATGCTAATGGATAACGATAGATTTCTTACGATGAGATCAACATCTTCTTTTTTAATTGGAACTTTTAGCAACTCCTTCTCTCTCGCTTTTTTCTCTGCTGCTTCTTTATTTCTACGGTCACCGATCAAGCTCAATGCCTGCATAAAGAGAAATACATTGCACCTTTATGTTCTCGTTTCCATGGAATACTTTATGTCGAGCATTCGAAAACATTAACCGCTCCACCAAAAATGTACACGAATGTATGCACAGTGTATAGGTTAGGTTTCATTATTTATTTTGCTCGCGTGAATATTATGGAAACATTAAATCACGCGTAAAGTTAAGAAATAAAAGACAGTGCGTGGATCTCGATAAACAACATGCTCGCGTAGTTACGAATTGGAGAAGACAACATTGTTGACAATCGTAAACACGTGGAGCAATAGACATTTATGGGGCACTCACGCAAGAGAATCCGTCAGACGAAGATATTTCCTTCTCCTCCGCGTAATCCGTGACTTTTTCCAAATCCGCCGCGCCACTGTCATATTTCGCTGCTCTTTTCTGTGATTTCTCCTGCTGCACCTCATCCGAATCACCATTGACATCGTTGTCCGCCATTTTTCCCCTTCTCGGAACTCGGTTCAGGTCGTACAGGCGATTATACGCAAGAAATAATCGACAACTTCAATCGGGAATCTTTTCCACGGTATTGTTAAACATTTTAACAACCTGCAAGTTCGAAAGACAAGTTAACTCGTTATTTATCTTTCGCTATGTATTCAGATAAGCTTCGAATCCCTTACTTCCTTATCTAAAATCCAACTGTGACTTGGAATACCTATATTAATCCGAATTATTTTTTGGACAGATAACCTTGTTTCCAGTAGATTCGACTTGATTCCGATTACTGAAATCACGCAATATTCGTTTATTATTATCCCAGATTAAGTTACTTTCTCAAACGTAATTAAATAAATATCAATGCTCGACGAACGATCGTGCTGATTGTTATCGCAAATCAGTTAATCGTCACGTAAATCTGTTCGAACGTTCCATAAATACATTCGGTAGATAGTTAGTCTTGAGGTTTAGCCGAAAAATCTACTCATCTTCCGATGTATATGTGCGGATATATAAATAAATGATAACAGATTAGCACCCGGATGATGCTAAAGATTTTCAATCGTTCCTACAATTGCAAAACTTTGTCGGCTAATATGTCTTATTGTAGACCTATCAAAAAAGTACTAATTTCCATGCGCAAATATTGTAAAGAATTTTTATTAAATAATTAATAAAACTTGGCAAATGAGTGGAACAAGAACAGAGCTACAATACAAGAGAGAATTTTCCTGGCACCTTATAATTTAGCGAACATTGTAAATAAATACATTGAACGAAGCAAGACTCGAAACTTGGTTAATTGGTGGCACCGCATAGCGGAGACATACGATACTACTTCACTAGAAGTTTCAGCGTTCTCGCAGTAGATGGCACCAACGATCTAGACAAGGAAGCGGGATTTTTCAAAATTAACTCTTTTTAAACTCTTATCTTAACGACTTTTTAACAGATTACACATTACTGTTCCGTGTTATTAAAGACGATGGACAATCGATTGAAATTGGGTCTCCATGGGTCTCCCGGATAATCCTTTGTAATAGGATTAAACGAACAACCCATTTCGCAGATGCGAAATAGCCGAAAATTCCTTCGATTCCTTGAATAGGTAATAACAACGGGGACCGGTCGCGAGTGCGAGCGGGAATTCCCGAATATCGCCGATAAGGGACGAAAATCGGAAACAGGGATGACGATCCCGAATAATTCAGGATCAGTCATCAGTTGACCGTGAGTCGTCGTTCGCGAAGGAGCTCTCTCCTCTCTCCTCTCTCCTCTCTCGTCTCTTACAATTAGACAATCAGTCATTTCGTATAAAATCAGTCGTCATCGCGCAGTCGTGGACGTCGGGCGTCTCGTGGTTTCATTCGGTTTTCTTGAACAGTGTTACTTTATCGAATAATATTGGACAATATTAGACAATGTTGTACTGTGTTGGACTTTATTGAACCATATTGGACAATGTTGAAGAGTTTGCCAGTATTAGTCGATGCTGACAGCTACTGACGGCTACTGACGGATGCTGATTAGAGGTCATCCATGGGATTATTATTAAGTGCGTTAAAAATAAGATTTAGATGTAGAACGGGAGGTCGGTGGAATTGAATTTTCCACCCAGCTCCCAGGGTCTCCACTCGCAGCAACCTCCACGCGGTGAGACCTGGGCAACTAACACTATCCCAAGTAGAATATTCTCTGCGAAGGATTATGTTAGGCTAATTGGCTGCAATTATTTTATAATTTAAATATGAAACATGCGATCATCGGCAGGTAAGTAGTACTTCGAAAATATTTACCTTTCTGCTGGATGCTGGAGAGAGTCGTTTAATTGAATTATCATTCAATTATCATTTAAGTGTTAAACAATTTTCTTCAATCATTTCTCAGACAAATATCTATCGCCTTTTCAGTAATTGCAGAAAGAAGACATCAGGAATCTCGTAATTTTAATACTAATACTTTAATATGTAAAATTGTTACTTTTTAATATGTTTCTGCAAATATGTAAAATTGTTATACTTAACCTCAAAATAATACCTAACAATGCGTTGTACATTTTAATCCTGAATGCTTAACAATTTTGTTAGAAATGTCGTACTTTTAAAAAAATGTACATTGAATTTCAATACGATTTGCCAAAATTTCAATTATTAACACGAGAACCGTTACTGTATATAATTTATCGAAGAAATTTCTACAACAGTATAATTAGTTAAAATAATTTCTTCTATAACTGCTGTGGCGACGACTTTATTTTTCCTTTTCACAATTGGGAACAGAGTTAAATGTTTTTATGCAATAAATGCTACAATGAATTGTTCGTTGCAAAATATTTCATAAATATTGTGTTAATAACACAGAACAATCGAGTATAGTCTGTTAATTTTTTAAATTCCATTACCCTATCCTGGTTTGGTGGCGTCATATTAGACGAAACGGTGTGAGAAACCCTTTAAACAGTTGTCAGAGACCTACGCAGTCGGTGTGAGAAACCCCTTAAACTGTTGTGAGAGACCTACGCAGTCGGTGTGAGAAACCCCTTAAACTCCTGCAAAACACCTACGAGAGACCCCATTGAACCCCCACGTGAGACCCCGCAAACCCCCTCGAGAAACACCCAAATTTAAACGAGAGACCCCC